TGATAGGGTGTACTAGGACACACAGTATGATAGGGTGTACTAGGACACACAGTATGATAGTGTGTACTAGGTCACACAGTTTGATAGGTTGTACTAGGACACACAGTATGATAGGGTGTACTAGGACACACTGTATGAAAGGGTGTACAAGGACACACGGTATGATAGGGTGTACTAGGTCACACAGTTTGATAGGGTGTACTAGGACACACAGTATGATTGGGTTTACTAGGACACACAGTATGATAGTGTGTACTAGGACACACAGTATGATGGGGTGTACTAGGACACACAGTATGCTAGGGTGTACTAGGACACACAGTGTGAAAGGACTAGGTCACACAGTTTGATAGGGTGTATTAGGACACAGAGTATGATAGGGTGTACTACGACACACAGTATGATAGGGTGTATTAGGACACACAGAATGATAGGGTGTACTAGGACACACATTATGACCCCCTGTACTAGGACACACATTATGATAGGGTGTACTATGACACACAGTATGATAGGGTGTACTATGACACACAGTTTGATAGGGTGTACTAGGACACAGAGTATGATAAGGTGTACTAGGACACACAGTATGCTAGGGTGTACTAGGACACACAGTGTGAAAGGGTGTACTAGGACACACTGTATGAAAGTGTGTACAAGGACACACGGTATGATAGGGTGTACTAGGTCACACAGTTTGATAGGGTGTATTAGGACACAGAGTATGATAGGGTGTTCTAGGACACACAGAATGATAGGGCGTTCTAGGACACACAGTATGATAGGGTGTGCTAGGACACATAGTATGATAGGGTGTACTAGGTCACACAGTGTGATAGGGTGTACTAGGACACACTATATGAAAGGGTGTACAAGGACACACGGTATGATAGGGTGTACTAGGTCACTCAGTTTGATAGGGTGTACTAGGACACAGAGTATGATAGGGTGTACTACGACACACAGTATGATAGGGTGTATTAGGACACACAGTATGATGGGGTGTACTAGGACACACAGTATGCTAGGGTGTACTAGGACACACATTATGACCCCCTGTACTAGGACACACATTATGATAGGGTGTACTGGGACACACATTATGATAGGGTGTACTGGGACACACATTATGATAGGGTGTACTGGGACACACATTATGATAGGGTGTACTGGGACACACATTATGATAGGGTGTACTGGGACACACATTATGATAGGGTGTACTGGGACACACATTATGATAGGGTGTACTGGGACACACATTATGATAGGGTGTACTATGACACACAGTATGATAGGGTGTAATAGGACACACAGTATGATAGGGTTTACTAGGACACAGTATGATAGGGTGTACTATGACACACAGTTTTATAGGGTGTACTAGGACACACAGTGTGAGATGGGGTGCTATAGCACACACAGTATGATAGGGTGTGCTAGGACACACAGTATGATTGGGTTTACTAGGACACACAGTATGTGGTGTGTACTAGGACACACAGTATGATTGGGTTTACTAGGACACATAGTATGAGAGGGTGTACTAGGACACACAGTATGCTAGGGTGTACTAGGACACACAGTATGCTAGGGTGTACTAGGACACACATTATGATAGGGTGTACTGGGACACACATTATGATAGGGTGTACTATGACACACAGTTTGATAGGGTGTACTAGGACACACTATGATAGGGTGTACTAGGACA